AATAATTAACACAAACTAAATATTTGTATTTGTAGTCATAAATTTCTTAAAAATCTTTTCTTCATTCTTAAGAATTGCTGCTATACACACAACAATTAATCATAATAAAGTCTGTTTGATTTCCAATCGGTGGCTATGAAATGTCTCGTCTACTCCATATTTAACATTAAAAGTATAACACGATAACATTCAGCAATTGATTCGTTAATAAAGATAAAAAAACTTACAAAATTCAATTGAAATATTAATCAACTCAATATCAATAAACGCAGAAAAATCTCTCTCCAATTCGCACTTGCTCGACTTGCAACAAAGCAGAACAATAATAAACTAACAATAGATTCTAAAATATTGTGTTTAACAATTATGAAAAATGAAATATGTTCGAATTTTATTGAATTTTAATAATTAATCGGTATTTTTTAAAACTCTTTTCGCACTGTGGGCACTAAAAGTACATTCTTTAGCAGCTCATTATGGGTTTGGCCAGACCCATAATGAGCTGGAAAGGACGGGTTCCGACATATTCGGGACCCGAAAAATTCCTGTGGTTTTCCGACCCGTCCAGATTTGGGTTTGATCCCGGATCTTAATATCCCACAGTTTTTAATAGGCCTATTATAATTACACATTTTAGCTAATATTTATTAGCTAAAATTAGCTAATAGCGCTCTTAATATTTATTAAAATGAAAAGAAAGACACTCAGTTTTTTCTCTTTCCGACCTTCAGACCTGTGGGTACTAGCGGGCTTTTTTTCTATACTCATCGTGGGTTTGACTAAGTTCACATTGATGTCAACGGATGATGATGATGATGATGATAGGAGCCCGGCATACTACGAGTATATCCGGGATAGACCGACTGTTCATGAAAAATTCTCGAGGCTTTTCGACAGCTCAAATTTGATCCTGGTGTCTAGAACCGCGGAGTAGCCTGACATATCTATCACTCCCTGGGTTTGTTTAGCATGCGCCGCATGCTTAAGAGAAAGTTTTGACTGTCAATATACTTTTTATATGAGAACAAATATGCCAATAATAATAACGTGTAAACTCTTATCATTTGTGTTTGCTTTTACATTGAGAGCTAGCGGCTAACCATTTTAAGACAGTGCCATGCTTGCGGAACTCGATCGCTTGCTCGTTTGGAGGTTTGCCGCAGCAAACAAGTACGCGCGTATGACGTCATTCGAAGCATTTAACAAGGCCAGATTGTATCGAAAGCTTGAGGTACCCAGTCAGTATACATGTATTGTGTACAGGGACGGATATACATAGAGATTAATAGGGCTTAAGCCCTTAGCCCCCAGTGTCAATGGCCCACCAAATTTGAATTATTATCATAAATTTTTAATACCTTTTTATTATAATATATTTCATATATTTCATGTGTAGACATAATGGACTTTATAATAGTCCATACTTTTTTATTCACACCAAATAACGTTTCTGCCTATTGTTTAGTGGTAGCGATAGGCCTATTATTCTTATTATAACTTTCAGAATGCCCAAAAATTTTGGTCAGGATTCACCCCTGTCTATCACTCTAAGCGATATGACTAGAAATATATCATTTTTAAATATTTTGTATTTTATATAATTAATATTATGCTGTTGAGAATGACCAGTTAATCTTATCTAAAGCGTATTAAGACTAGATTTTAAACAAAATTTTAGAAATTTTTGATGGAATTTTTTGACGTTCTTAATATATCAGATAATTGCAATAGTTAACAAGCTTTCGTTTTCCTTATCTTATCGTTTTATTTCATTGCTAATTTAAGATTATTATTAATAATTGATATTAATTATAAATAGGATGTTCGAAGTAAATTAATTACTGTACATTTAAAGCTAATTTCTATATGATGTAGTGTTAAATAAATTTATAATACAAATTTATTTAGCACTATATCATAACATATTTTTGATACTTCCAATGTATAATAAAATGGAATATCATTAAATCGGTGCATAAAATAGACAAAATTAAAGATTTTTTTAAAACACTCGAGAAATATACTGGAATATCTAACAATTTATAAATACAGTAGAACCTCTATTATCCGGATTTTTCCTTATCCGGACTACCTTCATCCCCAATTAGTCCGGATAATCGAGGTTCTACTGTATGTTTTAATTAAAGACCTTCGTGAATGTGAGACCCAGACAGGTCATATTACCTGTCTGGGCCCTATATTTACGAAACTATTAAGACATCAGTTCTGAAAAACTTAGGGTTGAACCCGAGAGGATAAAAGGTTTTTTTTTTTCAGGAATTTTTCAGGGTGATTTGTCTCAGATATGGCTCCTTTCCTACCACTCGGCCGCCATATTGTGAGCTTGGTAAACACAAAATAGGTGTGAAAAAACTCTCCAGGCGAAAAGAGTTTAAAAGAATGTGGGACCTTTCTGGTCTCGTGTATGAAAGGCTTTAATTCTAAATATATGAAAAGTTAAAAAAAATATAGATTTTTTTTTGTTTAAACTACTAATTATGTCTTTTCTTGTTATGATAAACATGTAAAGTAACATTTAAATTGATTAATGGTTTCTGTTTTCGGTTTTCCTAGTGATTAATATAACATTTAATACAGTATTTTTCTCTCCAATTAAATAGTTTTTATTACGTATTTTACTGTATTCTTAAATATTTCATAAATTCTTGCCCGAATTTCAACATCTCCGGCATGTGACTACGATTATATCGCCGGTTAAAATAACATTATTGTAGAAATTCTCTTTTATATATATTTATTTGATCAGAAAGTGTTTTAATTTTATTTAAAATATAAAATTTGCAATTAATAAATATAATTACGTTTTAATTAATCGAATAGAAATTTTATTATTAGTTCGTTTTTTTGTCGTTGTGTGGCGTTTGTAACTCGTGACTACTCGCGGAATTCGTCATATGATATTTAATTGATATTTGTTATGATACACAAACGTTATGTATTAGAGTATTAAAGACGATAAATACGTAACAGTTTTCAAAACAACTCGTAACAATGATTAACGTACCAAATGCGCCATTAAAGGTAATAAACATTTTATTTTCCTTAAAAAATAATCTATTTCATTGGGATCTTTAAATATAGAAGTGTGTTTACTTTAGATTTGTTATCAAATGTCAAAGAACTGTAATATCAGATTTTATTCTTCTCATCATCTAATTACAATTGTTATTGACAATATAAATGTTTTGAAAAACAATATTGTATTATATATTTAGAAAAATTTATTTGTCAAGGAAAATTTTAAATGATATTAAATTTACACTTAGTTTTGACAAGGTAAAATAGCATATTATTCATATTTATTGACAATTATCAGAATCAGATATAATTTTCATAATTGGATATCATTGAAAAGCTGGAGGATGACATATTTTGCTATTTATGTAATATATTAATGTTAAGATCAGGGATAGATTATTTAATTTCTGTTAAATGTAAAAATTGTTAGGAAATTTAGATCAACAATGATATGATTTTTGTTAGTTAATTTTAGAGATAATGCAATTGTTTATGTACATCTATATATATAAAAATGAATGTGTGTGTGTGTGTCTGTCTGTCTGTCCTTCATGCATTACCACACTGTTTATCTGATTGCCATGAAACTTTGGGAAGTTGTTTAATATACTCCCGCAAAGGTTTTTGGCATAGTACAATTGCCATGAAGCTTTTAGAAGTTTTTTTAATACACTCCGTTTCTGGCATAGTACATTTATCCTATGATAGATGGTGCGATTCTACGATAGCGTGTATACGAGCATTTCATCGTGAGATTGATGGATTTGAAATTGTGAAGACCATTTCCCCTCCAAAAAATATCTCTATACAGTATATGCATTTGTGAACTGTTATTTACAATATTTGTAATAATTTTTGTTTAATCACTTTATTTCAACTTTTTTTGCTAATTATGTATTCGCTGGAACTTTGTTAAAATCTTAACTGTATCCCGAACAACAACCGAAGTTGTAGGAGGAAATTCGCCTATTTTAC